CCCCAAAACCCCAAAACCCCAAAACCCCAAAACCCCAAAACCCCAAAACCCCGAATTTGTGTAAGGAGGTTGAAAGTTGTGCTACTGGATATCAGTCAGAGGCCGGTGGTTCAGACTCAGGTTAGCCTTGAACTTCCTAAATCCAAAATCAGGTCAAAACTAAAAACGCTGGAGTACCTGTAGCGAGGCTTCATGTGCCTCGAGCTGAGGATAGTCCCTCTGCTCGAACAAGTTCGAGTGTCCCTCCCTGGCTTGTTAGCCTTGCCATCGTTCAACATTATTTGCATCGTCCTTGGGTTTACTAAGAAAGGGCTTTTCGAAGGAGTGTAATACATCTGATTCGACCTTTGCGTTGACATCAGTAAATCATTAGTTAGAGATTCATCAATGAAAGTACTTCTCTATTAAAAATTAGATAAAAATCTAACCTCTTTTAGTGAACATTGGAAGGATGCATTGTGGTCATTAGATAACGTTAAGAGAGGACTTGGGCTTGCCTTCCTCCTGGACATCACCTCCGATATCCTTTCGTTCTGATATTTCGGCTTGAGTTCCACGTTAGATTTCAATTCTAAATCAGCAGGACTCTCTACTTGATCAACAGAGCTAGTAATGTTATAATTCTTAGTCTTGATCGGAGCTATCTTCCCCAGAAGGCCCATTATCTTCTTAGACTTTAGCAGCAGGAGGTTCTCTCGCTTATAAGTTTTACTACAAGTAATGACAACTACTTACTCTTTATACTGGATTTTGGAGGGCTCATAGCTTAGTCAAGCCATTTTGAATGCCTTCATGACCAGTCCGTTAGACTGAGAACAACTCACGCAGTTCTTATCTAAAGAAAGTACGTTATTTTTGTGAAATAAGTGATTGCTCTTCTTCAGTTTGTCATCTGGTCCACCCTTTCTAGTCTATATTAAAGAAAGCATGGTTATCGGCTCATAGAGGAAGAATATGGCAGATTATAACCCAGCACAGCTAACAGTCTCACGACTTTGAAAAGGAGTGGGAGTTTCGTTTGAAATATTTCCAGTAGAACAACTTTAAATTTTGACTGTTAATTTTATATTCTGGATTCGGCAATTTCAAGTTTTAGATAAGCAAGTAAGAGCAGTTTTTAAGGGTTAAGAAGTTTCCTAGATAAACTAAAGTGCTTTCAGTCGTTGTTGAAGAAGCAAAACTGAGTTTTTAAAGTGCAGTTGGGTAGAAATTTGTACTAAGAAAAATCATGCTGGCTCGAATGGTAATGTAAATATCTACGAAGCGTTAATAAAGCTATTTTTAGATTTACATACCTCTGTTCCATAGAGAGCAATATTCCGTCTGTCAAGCTCATCCTGAATATCAAGCACGTGCTGGATCTGGACATCCTCAAGGATCCCAGCCACTAAGTCACTGATCTTCTCAAAATCTTCCCTGAAATTACCTATTACTTTGTAAGTGTCTTTGATCTCTTGGCTCATAGCCTTAAAGGACTTCAGAAAGTCAGCCTTCTCACGTTTTTGGATTAATAATTCCTGATCAAACTCAACACGAATGTTCTTCATAAACTTCGCATTCTGTGTAGAATCCTTCTTAAACTCTCTATTGATAAACTTTAGAGTCTCAGAGATATCATCCTTTATCTGACTGACACATGAGTTTAGCTTCTCATAAACCTCATTCTCGGCTTGATTTACTTTAGAAGTGTAGTCAGCTATCAGGTCTAATACATCGTCGTCAAGGTCATTAAGAGTGATCTTCTCACGTAGTATCTTGTCGTCATCGTCATCGAGGAGGGAGTCATGACTCTGCTTGCTCTTTGAATGACTTATCTCCTTATTCTTAGGATCTGTGTGAATATCCTCGTTACCATCACCTATAGAAGAAAATCTAGGTTTTCCAAAATCGAGATCCTTATTATACGTCTTCTGTGCGTTCCTATTAGACCGCTTCATTTCCTTGGCAGTACTGAACCTTTGGAGTTCAGTATCGCTGTCTTTAAGCTTAGTTTTTCCTATATAGCGCATCAGAAGGTTTCTTTCCAAACCACTGTTGGTTTATTTTCAGATGTTGCCGAAACTTACTCTTTAGTAAAGAAGCAGTAGCTTTCCTAGACCCAACTGTGCTCTTCTTACTTCTGAGTTGTAATTCTGAAGCTGGAGGAGACCTTGAGCTACTCTCTGGAGATTTCAGCGATTTCCTTCCTTTAGACTATACTCATTTAGATATGAACTGGGCTGAAATATTACTTTCTTAGCTTCTTTATTGACTTTCCGAGGATTCTTGCCTCTCTTTGTGATAGTAAGCCTCTTCTTCTGCTTAGTATGGCCCTTTAGAATGTTATAAATCTGCCCTTTGCTTGTCTTCCTCGAGACATTTACAGTATAGGAGTTCAAATTACTCTGCTCTTCAAATTTGCCGACTAGGTCTCTGGGGTCTTCTTGGACCTTGCTCAGGGAGGTTTCTCTAGGCTTTATGGTATCTTCAATATAAGAATCATTTAAGTCATCATATTCATCCTCTTTATCACTCTCTTCTTGTCTGTTAGGGTTATTTTCAAGGTCATCTCTTGAGGTATCTCTCTGTTCTGCATCCAAATCCTCGTGCTCGGCTTCTGCCTGACCAGTATTTTCAAGCTGGTCTCTATCAAGAGGGTCTGACTTCTCCTTGCCTCTCTTTTGGTTTGGCTTAAACAGGCTTTCTTTAATCGAGGCAGAATCGTCGCTGGAGTCGTCTAATTTAGAATAAGTTTGAGAATTCTTGGATAAATCCTTTAATTTAAATTTCTTAATCTTTTCATCTGGCTTTGAGCCATACTTGTTGGATAAGTCGAGCCTCAAAATTCTGGAAGAGCTAGGGCTATCGTCAGAGCTATCCCTGAAGCCCTGATACTTTAAGTACATCGAGTCATTCAGATCCTTGAGCTTATTTTAAGAAAAATTTTCGTTGTTTCTCTTCTTGGGTTGAGAAAAATTCTACTTTTTCATCTATAATTTATAAGGAAATCGCACCTCTGAGATCAAGATATTTCTTCCGAGAAGACTCGTAGATTTTGTACAGCTCCTTCTTTGCCAAGCATACTGTGTTTAAGAGACTTATAGTCTGTGTATAATGAGATATGTAGCTATTTCTGTAGCTAAAAGGCCTATCAACAATGGCAGAGTTGTCAAATTCTTCCCATTCTGCTTCAGAAATACCAATATACTTTCTGCTTTTCACTTCAATATTCTTAGCCATTCTCTTAAAATTCAAAATATGTGTATTTAATTGATCAGAGCTTAATTTCTCTTCCCGAATTTCCTCTATTTGCCTATTCAAGTACTCTACCCTGTTCACGTAATCATTAAGGATGACATCGTATTTACTATATCGAACGTTAAATTCTAAGAATCCCAAAAAAATCAGTAGCATGAGACCCTACCTTCATTGAAAACAGCTCATGCATACTCTTCATCCTCGCATGGATTTCCACAATACTCTTCTCATTAGTCCTGGCTTCGCCCCTGACGTTCTCAACATGTGAGACCAGTTGTTTCTTAGAGTCCAAGACCTTGTCGTCAAAGATCGCAGCTTGTTGCTCAATTTCCATGCTGATCTTCCTAAACTCCTCTTGGATCTGGTCGAAAGTATCATTCTGGGCACTGATCCTCTCAGCTTGGGTACCGCTCTGTTCCCGCACAAGTCCAATTTCCGCCTGGTTCATTTTGAGCTTACCCTCAATCCGTTCAAACCTAGCCTTGGTAAACTCCTCAGTCTGCTTAATCCTCGCTTGGATTTCATCGACTTGTTCATGCTTATTTCTGAAGATTGAAAATTTCTAATTTGTGCTTGTCAAGGAGGGCTTTTTGGTCGTGAAGAGAGATTTTGGTCTGGAAGGTGTCCTCTTTTATACATGCAACTCTTTCATGGAAGGGTTTGATTAATTCCTCTACAATCTCTCTTATCTTAGTCTCTATTTCATACCAGTTCAAATCGATATTAAAATTATTTGGCAATTTTACATCTGGACTTCCTAAAGAGTCCTTGACAGTTGGTGAACTTGCTTGCTCTTCACTTAAGGCTTCTTGAGACATTCAATATTTATATAAAAAATTGGGGTTTTGGGGTTTTGGGGTTTTGGGGTTTTGGGG